ATAATTCTCTTATAATTCCCTTTTATTTTATTTTTATTAGTTTTTTAATCTTTATTTTTAGCTTATTTAAGCTAATTAACCCCTACTTATTAATACTAATATTAGTAAGTAAACTTAGCTTTATTTTAGCTTACTAATTATATTAGCTAATAATAGCTTATAAATTTATTAATATTATATATTACACTAATTTTTAAAATGTAATATAGTGTAGTAAAACTACACTACACTATACTATACTAAATTTCACTAAAAACTACAAAATTACACTACTTCTAATGCTCTGGGCATATATTATGCTCTGTTGAGTTCTAAGCGTGAGCCTTCCCAAAACCTTAACAATTAGTCGGGCCGAGTGCGAAGCATTCAATGCAACAGCCAGTCGCGTTCACCTGACTCGGCTAACTAGAACATTGCGATCTCTTCATTTTCTATCAATAATTTTAATCATTATACTCTATATACTACCCACAAGCCTCCAGCCAGAACAAATGACATGGCTCTGCTTACTCTTGCTAAGCTGCATTATTTGCAAGACATGTCGAGTTGTTTGCTTCTCGACGAGTGCCTCGTTGTCTCTAGAGTACAAAATATCTTATGTTAACAGTGCCCAGTCCTTCATGTAAAGCATGGGAGGGCCAAAGTATCATGTTTCACCATGAATAGCAGTCCCTATGCAGGACTGTGAACCGGCGGTAAGCGAACACTACGCAAGGATATCTATGCCATCTCATCCAAGTAAGACATGTAAAGACGTCAGTGAATATATTTGATAGTATAAGTCAGAGCTCGTTGATGGTGTCTTGCGTGGTTAATTACGGTTCCCTGGCCTAGGCACGGCCAAAATTTAGTCTTACTAGGTGCCCTCCATCTAGCCCTTTTTTTGATTTTGTTTTCCCTCAGAGCTCTCGGATGCAGTACGTTAACGAAAGGGGGTCATTCATCCTGGGCAGTTGCATGTGTGACGTTTCTTGGTCGGTACGGCCACATTGTGACAAGCAACAAGAGAGTCTGTAAGGCCACACGGAACTAGACGCAGTGTAGTCAGAGCTCAAGCTTCGATCGAGCCGCCAATTGTGGACCGGGCAAAAATTAATGGCTCAGAGATGATGCGTGCAAGGTATGCATCCATGCATCTAGACATCCCACAGTGATGCCCAACCATGCGGCCCTGAGGCATTCTCACATGCATCGAGGCAATTCCACAAGGACTGTGCTCCACCTCCATTTTCTTTACCAGTCTCATGGTTGTGAAGAAGAGAGAATAGTAGGCTAAACTGACTTTCTGGTGTTTTCTCCCGCTCGACACTCACCATGGGCTTATCTCGGATGTTACCATGCTTGAAGCCGAGGCCGGAGCCAATACTCGAGGAGAGGCCGAAGAGTATACCCCTTCAGGCCGCAGCGAAGAAAGGCCATCAAGAAGTGGTTCAGTTGCTTCTTCTCAAGGGCGCAAAAGTTGATGACATAGCTCCTGGTTTTCAAGAAACGCCATTATGTTGTGCAGCAGAGAATGGCCACTTGAGATAGTTAAGACCCTTCTTTCTTTCGGGCCCGGGATCGATGGCTTTAATATGACGCCATTGTGCACAGCGGCAGACGGAAATCTTCGTGAGATGGTCCGTTTGCTCATTTCTGAGGGTGCAGATGTTGATAAGAATACTTCTTTGGTATGCCTCTAGCCGTGGCAGCATGGCGCGGCCATTATGAAATAGTCCGTATGTTTTTTGACGCGGGCGCTGATGTCAACGTTTGCGCTAATGTCTTCAGCATTAACTGGTGTGTTCAAAATTTTACGCGACAGGGCCAAATTAAGCTATCCGAGGTGCTTCTTATAGCCGGTGTTGATATTAATGCTATGTGTGGCTTTTGGTCCAAGTTTAACACACCATTATACGCAGCCGCAGTGAATGGCCACGACACCAATGGCTTCTCTCTAAGGGTGGCAACATTATCATTACAGATGAAAATTTAATGGGGTGGGCGCAACGAAACAATATTGAAATTCATTGGCGAGAAGGTTGGCGATGCAGTCCCGGTGACACCAACTTTAATCTTAGCCATCGCAAGGAATTGGCGGAGTGGAGATCAAATCATGGCCGTCATTTTGGACAAGCGTGGCGCCGATGCTCAAATAACAGAGAAAGTAATCGAGTCTCTGTTAGAGTACTCTTATGCCGGGTATGATCTCATGAATATCCTAGTCCAGCAGCATGGAGATGATAGTCCAACGACTGCAAACTTTGTCCAAAAGGCGTGGCGCTCTCATTTGAGGTATGAGCAAGTGCAACCGCTTCTCAAGCAGCACCCAATCACGGGGAGCATGATGATGGCCAGCGTGAAAAACCCTCATCGAGGGCAGAAAATACTACAGCTGCTCCTAAAATATCGAAGAGTTGAGTTTCTTGCCATATAGGACTTTGAGCATCAAAATTTTGAAGACCGGGTTTGGGATCGGGTTCAGGTTGCCATGTCTATTGTCTTGTCTTGAAACAGAGACGTAGAGTCCGTGAGCTGCTTCACGAAGCTCGGCAATTGAAGATTTGTTTTACCTTTGAATGTAGATTGACGGAGATTATTGTGACCTCAGTACAACCCAGAAACATAAAGGCTCTACGCAGCTATAGCTAGCGATTCAATTTCGTAGCAAAGCACTGATATGTCAAGCTACTCCTACAGTTACTTCAAATTTGTCAAAAAGAAACTTGAGAAATCGCCGATATCACTGGTATAGCTTAGCTACGACGGGAAAGTGCTTACTTTGTATCCCGAAATCCGCTCGAGCGAAGACAGTAATTTTTAGCATCTTTGAGAGGCTTGCAGCTTATTGTCCTTTATATTTAAGGCGCGCATGACTTTATAGGTTGATCATTCTCTTCTTCCACCTCACATTTGTCAAAGAATCTGCTTTGTGTGTTCAAGAGTACTGCGTCAATCATGGCTAGGCGATGCCGATGCCGAGGAGCTGTTGCGCCTGCAAGTGGCGAAGTCCTCTGGCCATATTTGTCTACCTGTTCGTCGGTTGGGCAATTCATTTGATGACTTCCTGTCTTTCTGGTGTTTGCCCCTTTTGCAGTCACTACCTTGACTGTGCGAGGACAGTGAACCTTGGCGATGACCTAAAAAAATCTGTCCTTTACCCTCTCACTGACTTGTCCCAGAACCACTAACCGCGATCTGTTGGCAATTTTGATTAGCAGAACCATCGTCCGATATAGTAAGTAGCATAAATTCAATGTTAGATGCAAGTAGGGATGGGGTTACGACCATATATGCAGCACGATTTAGCAGAGCCAAAGGGGTAGACTCAAACACTTAGACGTTTTACGATTTAGAGCTACCTAGCTCATACGGAGAGGTATTCCGGAAGTTAAAGGCCGAGGCACATGTCCTGCTAGCAACTACTTTGAACGCGAGAGCTTGTTTACGCTAGCGAAGCTTATATCCTCAAACCTCCAGTTTTCATTGGAACGGTAAAGCCACCCATAGTCCTGCATCCTCGATTTGCTATCACTTCGCAGCGACCCACTCCACGCCTACGGATTTGTGGCGGTTGAAAGCTGAGTTGTGTGGCTCGTTCTATATGGGCCAGACTATGCTAAGCCTGCTCAGGTGCTCAACACCACGGAGCACGAGAGTCAACTTGCTTGGCGCAAAGCATCAATTTTGGTACCCTTTTTCAGCAAAAGTTGTGTGCCTCAATAAATGGAATCATATTGCACCCTGTAGAACCAAGAGCTGTCTAAACTTGAGAGCGCTACGGAATCCTTCAAAAGCAGCTCTCCGACCAAGACATCTTTGCCAGCTTTGGATGAGACCCGCGACAAAGATTTTTGAACTGTCGGAACAAAAATATGACGAAGCCAGCTGGAGACAAGGCCAAGGATCGAGATCCAAGCTTATACCATAATCAGTCAGAAATCCGGGTCCAAAATGACGACTCTCGATTCGAGTTAAGGTTCTTCAACACTGAACTATATTTTTCAAAAACTGGTATTATGCTAATCATATCTTGTATTGCAGCCGCTGGTGGCTCATATCATCCGTGTTCCCTATGATTGCAGGAACTCTTGGTCCTGTAGCGTCGGCATTCAGTATTTGCTCCCTAAGCCAGTCATGGGTGCAACATAGTTCCCCTCGCACCAGCGTGAATGGAGTGAATCTTTTTCCTGACCCAGCCTGGTAGGTAGCTGCGGGCGAGAACCTATGAGATCATGCGCTAATCGCCAGCATGGTTGTGCAGGTTGACTACTCTGAAAGCCATACAGCTGTTCTTGGCTCTCGTGTCGAATATGTTCCTCCTGTTAGACATGACAAGAAAGGTTCGCTTCACCATTGCGGAACCAATCACAATAATAGGATGGTAAGGGGTCATAGTCCTCCAAGCGTCAGACCACGCAGCTTAAAGCTCAATCAGGTACATTTCTGCCATTTGCCTCGTGTGTCTTCATGCAATCGCATCCGGTCCCTTACTGAACAGCCTGGGGATTTCCGCAGACGAGAAGCTATGGTCGCAGGCTTTCTATTACGGCATCTGGTCTGCCATTTTGTACTTCGTCGCAGCGTCAGTACTGGTCATTACGTTCTGGGGCTCACTACACGGCCATTACGAGGAGGACTTTAATCTAAGTCACAGTCAGCGAACGCTCATGCTACAAACCATGATATTTCTCACGCTCCTGCTTTTGAGCGCCCTCCTTTTCTCCAAGCTTGAAGATTGGAATTACCTCGATGGAGTCTATTGGGCTAATGTTACGCTCTTCACCATTGGTTTTGGCGACATCGTTCCCACCACGGTACTTGCGCAGGCTTTGCTGATCCCGTATGTTCTTATTGGCATCACTAGCCTCGGCCTTGTCATCAATTCGATCCAAAGTATGATACTTGAGCGTGGGAGTCAGCGCCTCGACGCCCGGGTAGGGGAGAGAAGCCGTCTAAATACTCTGCAGAAAATCATTCGCAAGGGAAAGGGCGACATGTTGATCCCCCTTGAGTGCGGTGATTCGCTCGCCAATGTTTCCGCCAAAGAGCTTGAGCGGCGTCATTCCGAGTTTGAATTGATGCGTGCCATACAGAAAAGGGCGTCCTCTCGGAGAAGATGGGTAGCATTGATCATCTCTGCGATGTCCTGGCTTTGCCTGTGGTTTTGTGGCGCCGTCGTCTTTTTTAAATGTGAGAAGACAGCCCAAGGCTGGACTTACTTGGACGCTGTCTATTTTTGTTTCATAGCATTTACAACAATCGGCTACGGCAATCTGGTTCCCAAGTCCAACGCCGGGAAGTCTTTTTTTGTTCTCTGGTCATTGCTTGCTCTGCCGATTCTCACCATCCTTATATCCAATGCGGGAGACACAGTTATCAGGGTTGTCAATAACATTACAATCCGAGTGGGAAGCATCACTCTTCTACCTGGACGTGGGGGATTCGGTCACAACATGAGGCAACTCCTTCATCAACTGAGCTGCGGCTACTTGTATTCCGAGTCTGAAGCAGACGCAAGTTTCGATTTGGAGAAGGGAATAGCTCGACCGATTGGAATGCCCGAGCAAAGAGTGCCCAAGATAAATAGTAGGGACGGTCAAAGCCGTGATACTAATAGCAGCACTCCAAAGACCTTGGCCTCCCAGATGGGAAGTCCAGGGTCTTCACGACGCCGTGCACCAGGACAGCCTATCTCCACACAGCGATTTGCTGCTGCTTGCAACGCCAAACTTGACAATTTTCCCACAGGGGACGACTTGCACCTTCTCCTCATATCTGAGATCCAGAATGTGGCAGAAACTATCCGTGACGATCGGCATCGAAGGTACACGTTCCAAGATTGGGCGTGGTATTTGCGCTTGATCGGTGAGGACGAGCGCGACCCAGACGCCCATCGTGAGGTGAGGCCAAAAGAGAGAACAAGACCGATGAACAAGATCTGCCTAGCGGGGACAAAGATGCTCCATCGTCAGCCGAGTGTGCGGAGACATGGTGAAGACGAGGAGAACCAGACCGAGCGGAACCAGCAGCCGACCAGAAACGATACTCACCCAGTGAAATGGTCATGGGTCGGGAACCAAAGTCCTTTGCTTAGCAGGAAAGAGGAGAGCGAGTGGATATTAGAGAGGCTGATGGAGAGGTTAAGGGAGTTGCTATGGGAGAGCAGCAGGCAGCATCAGGATATTGTGCGAGAATCGTCGTGACTTGAGTTCCGTTTTACATTTAGGGTCTATTTGATCCAAGTAGCCTAGCCTGAAGACTTGTATGGCTTTCTGTGCATAGTCTCTTGCTGCAGTACTCCAGACGGGAGTGCCCTGAAGTATCTCGGATGTCTTCTCCGACACATTGGCCGCAGATTTTATATAAGGACTGTTTTGTGATTTTGGTATTGCAATGTCTTTCCGATGTTGGCCAACACTAGCTTGACTATACTTGGATTGTATGCAGTGACCAATCTTGGGTTACATTGTGGGTAGTGGCAAATGAGGCCTTTGGATTGCGCAGGACCAGAGAGTTTTGCCCGGTATGCGTGTTGTCACAACGCCCAGTGGACTTCAAAGAAAGAGGCTGATGTACGCAAGAGATGGAAGGCACCAATTGTCTCGTGATTCAATCATTGAGCTGATGAATGTAGCTGCTGTATGTATAGACCTTATTGGCCGCACCTTTGGTACACGGTTAATAATATCTGGGGAACTGACGTCTCCGTAGATGGTTATTCAAAGTAAGAAACAAACAAGGGTCTTTCTGCAGGTTCAACTTGTTTTATGACAAGTAGACAATGAAATAGGAATTTCGACGGTATTAAAGACCGAAAGCCCTCGATTGTTAGATTCAACTTGAGCGGTTAGAGCCAAAAATAGGCAAGTCAAGCTTTAACACCACTAACCACTTCACGCAAACATGGATGAAGACAGCCCAGTGTGGAATACTCGCTTCTCCCGTCGCGTCGGGCAATTGAAACAACCGCCGGCGATTTTTCAGAGCAGCGAACTTCAAGGCAGTCTCGTCGATACACGGAATAGGGCGGCCGACTCCGCTGGGACGAAGCGGGCCAGTGTGCCCAATCTGTGTGCCCAATCTGTGTGCAAAAGGGAACATCCAGCTCGACACACATGCCGTAAAGGGGCCAGTAACGGGCGTCTGTGGGAGCGTGATTCCATAACCACGCCACAGCTCTCAGCCCTTTGATGGCTTCAACACTGTCACAAAAAGAATAAGAGCGCGCTCGCCAACCTTCACATAACCCTAGCCCATCATGTATATTAAACCTTCCTTTATCTTGTACTTTTAACTTTAGTCTCCGTAATCTCTCACACGTTTCCGGCAAAGATTAACTTCTAATTTAAGTTTCACACTTAGCGAGTTAGGTTTCTAAGACTGAGCACGGAACGCGGCATGTAGTGGGGTATTCGCAGCTTGCGTCATTCGTCGACGACTCATCGATGACCTTGTCTCGGATAGAAGGTTGTTGGAGGGCTAATATCTTGGTCAGTGATCTGGGAAAGATGACGTTTGGGTTCAAGGAAAGAGGCCCGTCGGCTTTCACACATTTGTGATATTCTCGGCAGAGGAGAAAGTTCAAAAAGCTCACCAAAATAAAGTTCAGAAACTGATAAGGCCTTTGGTTAATCTTGGTGAGTCTTGGCTTGCCTCGGTAGGTAAGAAATGGGGGCAGCGATCTCATGTTCTGGCAGACGCATGCCAGGAAGGTGCTATAGGATCGATTGCCATCTGGCGATGCACGGAGCAATTTAGCTTGCTATTTAACGCTTGTGGGGGATGCTCCCCTTGTCCATTAATCACGTTTAATAGGAACCCCTTTCCGTGTATATTGTACGTGTTGAAAGGTAGGATAATGTATTTCTTGATTTTTGCGCGAATCATCTACCGTAAGCCGCTAAAGAGAAGCGTTACACGTTGAATTATAAACTTAAAATAACCCTAATACCTAGAGGTAATATCGGCCCTCTTTCACGCGGCATCTGGCCCATTAAACCAAACATGACCAAGCTTAGTATAATTTCGTTGAATAGAGCTACACGGCTAGAATGTTCGTTATGTCTTGAGTAACGTTATTTACCATTTATAATGTAGGGGGGATTCTACGTGAGGAAAGCTTGTAAATATAGGTAATGAGTATTGCTACTAGCACAGATATGGTGGGGGCGTGGCCCCCGAGAGGCCTTTCACTGTGTGAGCGAGTTTTGAGTTATTACTAAAAACTTAGAAGCTTATTTATGAACCTATTATTATGGTTCTTAGTACTTTATGAGTGTATTTTAGATTCTGATGCATCTAACTTACACCGTAACCTCTAGACTATTCTAAGTACTACAAGTTGCTCTGTGGTATCTAGTAGTGTATTTCCTAACAGATTATTATGCGCTTACAAGTAGGAGACTTAAAAAGCATAAATATCTGCCTGACCTCCTGGAGTTACTCATATTACTGTCTAAAATCTCATACAAAACTATTAATTGTAATTTATCACGCCATCTTACATTTATCACTGTACCCAATAGATCTTAAGCGATCTAGTTGAAATAATGCTCCTCGGGAACTTGCTTATTCTTGCATCCGCCGCTTTAGGCGCCGTCGTTCAATACGACGACACTCAATATGACGCTGCTGAGTACGATGAAGGCATTCAATACGACGCCGCCGAGTACGACAGCATTCAGTACGACGACACGCAATCCATCGCACGACCAGCAGTAGGTCATCGCGCCCCTCCCAAGAATAGCCTTGGTCTCACATAACGCAGGGAGAGATCTATCACGCCGAGCGGTGTAATAATCCAGCTGTATTTATCTCTTACTGGTGTCGCCCGCTTGATAGGTAAGCCTATGGAAACCCTCGTAAAGTAATTTCCCCTTTAATAAAGGTAAAAGTAGATCGTTCAAGTCAATCAAGGTGAATCAAGGTTATCGTTGCGTCCTTTATTGGTAGGTCCCTTACTTCACACTTAGTAGTAATGTTATTAATATCGCACAGGAAACCAGATTGTCAGGGGCCGATCATGAACGTCGGGCCATCCTCCTGTCAACGTTTACGTCCCTCTGCCAGCTCCATAAGGTGCTTCAGAGATCTCCAGGGCCAGTAATACACGCCAATATGAGATGAATTCTCGCCGGAAGCCAGGGAATCGGCTAAACCTGGCGATATGGAAGTGGCATGTGGCGGGTTTCCACGACGCCTTGGTGCGGGTTTTTCTCCCCCTTGATTGGGTTTTTTCCTAGACTATATTGCAAATGCAAAGGCTTTACTCTGTTTTAGGGTATGTACCTATTGATTTAGAATTAAAATTTCATGTAAATCATGTCATGTGTCAAGGTCTAACCTAAGAAGCCCATGGTGAGTGTCGGCACCTGTTGCGTTCGACCCAATCACGTAGCTGCTGCAGTTACATTTGCACATTTTTCTTCAAAAGCGGCACCATTTGCTCCAAATATTGATGCCATGACGTCCATAAATGGAGGCAAATTTGCGGTGAATATGTATTTTTGTTGTAGACTAGCATATTACTTTAGTTACGAAGGTCCTCTATAATCAACAGAGGATGAGCAAGCTTTTCCTCTTGTCGTTAAGGTGAATATGCTTACATATCCTCCGACTACGAATTTTGTACAGCGAGATAATGTATTTCATGTAGTATGAAGCCTCTGTTCCATATGTTAATACTACATAACCCTCGGCAGCGGTGCAATATCCGCAAGGCCCAGAGTACCTATAGCCCGTGTGTTGATATCGCTAGATTGGGGTTCTTTCGGGCAAATTAGTAAGTGTGAACTTGAAATATTGATTTACGTCCTATTTCCGGACGAATTCGACTGTGCAGAAAATTCCTCACACAGCTGTTCACGCTGTTTAGCTGCTATTAAAACTGAGAATAGCAGAGCCAAGAAGTTCGACGGAATCCCGTTTCGGAATGAGCCGAGCCTGACAGGGCGGACAGGGATACAGCTGCTGGAGATAGGTAATGGAGAGACAGGTGTGATGCCTCGAGACGCCCGATGTCGTTGTCCGATTGTGTCACGACAAGGGCTCCTCCATTGCATGACATGCATGCTAAGGCATTAGCTTACATGTGCAACGGTATTACACAAGGCTCTTCTTTGATCGCCGATTTTAGGTCTACGACCGTCAATCTTGATGGCCGGACGGCGATGAAGGCACGCGTGTCTTATAGCCGGCAACGCTTTACTAAATGCCACCAGCAACTCGAACTACAGAATGAAGTGCAATCGATCTTACTCACCGCACCGCACTATAGTCAGCTGTGGGTGATTCTTTCACATTCACGCACTAAAGCTGATATCCAGTGGCTGCCAACGACGAATCACTTGACATGTGATACACTTCGGATGTGACCTCGAAATGGGTCAAACTCCACTGGTCTAGTCGCTAATGAAAGACATTAAATAGAATTTTGTACTACGGGGCACACTGATGAGAATCGGAATTACTCCTAGAATGGACTCGTCAGCAGGCAGAAACACGACTTTGTTACACACACGAATAGAAAAAGAAAAGAATCTCCATTCCCATTCTGCTCAATCACGGCCGTGATAGCCTGTCGTCATATTTCCAAGCAGGATCAGCAGCCGACGTGCCAACACGATAAAACAACAAGTAGCAGTTTCTCCAGGGCGGGCGAACAACTCGCACAATGCCAATTAAGCAACTAGATTCGCAGCGTCGGCGTCGATGGGCCCCCAAGGTGAGGACAGGCTGCATGACTTGTCGGTACGTGCTGCTCCCAGGTTTTCCACGACGTGGTGCGTGTCATAACCGTGGTAACAATCCATCCTAAGCTCCCGTCGCGTCAAATGCGACGAGAATTGGCCGTCCTGCACACGCTGCATATCCGCCCGTCGTCAATGCGAGGGATACGACCGATATTCATCGCCCGGGTCCGTGGGCGTATTAGATCATCAGCCTACGAACGGCATGACGCCAATCTATGCGCATTCAACGCCACAGGAGAAGTACTTGTTCCATATATTTCGCGCCGAGACTGCCGGTCAAGTTTCCGGTGAGTTCAAAGGCACGTTTTGGTCCGTCGATGTCCCGCAAGCCTGTCAACTACATCCCGCCATCGCTTCCTTGCAAATGAGACAAAGAACCGTTCACGGCTTGATGCAGCACTACGGCGACGAAGGCTTAAAGCAATACATCAAAGCCATTGGTCACCTCATCCAGGCGACCCAAAAGACGGACCCCAGCTTTGAAGAGCAGTCGCTCATTTTGATGGCTACCGTGCTCCTTTTGGGGTTTGCCAGCCTGGGAGGTAATTTCAACGAGGTCGAGTTCTTTGCCAGTCATGGCCTTCAATTATTCACAAAATGAAACTTTCGCGAAAGAGCTGAGCGATGGAAGCAGTCTCTGTGCAGCAACGTGATTTCCGTCACGTCTCTTGTTTGTCTACTTGACCACTTGCTTGTCCAATATTCATGGGCCCGTAATATTTCTTATCTTCCAGGACAGGCAAAGAGTAATACTGCAATCGGGCCGTCAAAGACGCCCTTTGCGAGCATGACGGAGGCATACCACGAGTACCAGGCATTGCAAATGGCTCATTTTGAAGTGCTGCGCGCACAAGCACTTGGCTCTGCGAATGGAGATTGGCAGCCATTCCGAGATATTCGTCAGGCCTGGCTGCGCAGATTATCGGCTTGGAAGGACAGGCTCGTTCAGACCCGGCAAGAGAGTGGGCATGGGGACAGGCAATCAAAGCCGTGGTTGATACTACAAATGGGATTACTCGGCTTGCAAATATGTTTCCAAGTTGGGTCTGTTGCGGACGAACTGTACTGGGACAAGTTCACTCCGAAGTTCAGACGTATCGTCGACACTGCGGAGCAAGTGTTCGAAATAAAGCCAAATGACCATGATGGAAAACGAGTGCCTACAGGCAGCGTCTTTACCTTTGCCCCTTCGCCGCTGGGGGTATTGTACATGGTTGCATCGGCCTGCCGGGAGTATGAAACGCGTACAAGGGCCATAAATTTACTCCAAAGACTGCAACAGAGGGACGGCCTGTTGGATAGCGGGCTTTTTGCATCCCTTTCAGAAGCCAAGATGCGGATCGAGGCAATGGGGGGGCGGTTGGTTGGCTTGACGGAACCAAAGAGGTGTACTTGCATCCCCAAAGAGTATGTTTGCGGGCATCATAGAGTAAGGGATGTTGGATAGAATTCATGGATAGAGGCCTGGTACGACTAGATCTGCAGTCGTTTGATGGTGGTGCACAACCTGAGTGTAAAAAGTCGCTAACTGTCATTGGAATGGGAGTTGATGCGGCATGTTACAGCATGCAGTCACTTTGCATTTTGGTGGGTAGTTCCTATAAAGACATGGATCTATGATGTCAACTGGAGTCAGAGGAACAACACTGAGCGTCTGTATAATGTAACCTTCAGTTAGATGTCAATGTCAGAAGCCACGATCTATAATGGCACCATACGCCCCTTCCGGAATATGTGACCATAGTCGCTAGATAAACTCACGGTCCAATCAAGCTACTTCCTAAAACTTCAAGGTCTCTATATATCTAAGAGTATACGGAGTGTACCTCTAATGTAGAATGCCGTGTCTTCTTTCAGAGGACAACAAACTACGAATTAGTGTGCGAGAATGTAATATTACCTACAAGAACACCAGTGATGAATTGCATCGTCTCTATAAGTCATTTCTTTTATTCTCGGATGTCAAATATCCGCCATTTCAATAGCCGACAAGACATCGCCATCTGCATCAAAATCATAGCACCAATCGCGCGTAGCTTTGTCAGATATACCTCCCAGACCACAACGCTCCGGCCCACGGGGAATGATCTGAATGGTATTCTCGACGACCTGGTTCGAGTCCATGGGCGGCTGCAAGAAGGCCTTATGTGATTGTTGCAACGCCTCATATAGCGCCACCCTCTTATCACCGTCCTCGACGTGAAGCGTATCGCCGGCATACAGACTAGCCCTTTGCACGGCCAATACCCGCCTCATACGGACCTTTTGGAACTCATGCATTACTTTTCTTAGAATCTCTCTGCCTGCAGAGCTTGCCAGCCCTGGGACCGACCCCTGTTCCTTGGAGTCGGCCTTGGCCCCGACGAAATTCAACGCTGTGGTAAGGGCAGTTGCGTCTTCCACGGCGAGACTCACGCCCATGGACATATAAAAGGCCATGGCATGAGCTGCGTCTCCCATCAAGGTGAAACGGCCCGACGAATCCACCCATTTTGGAAGCGGTGGAACTTCGTAGACGGGATAGTTGCTAATCTTTGGAACTGACAAGTCGAACAATCTGCGAACACTAGGCCCCCATGTGAATTAGAAGGGTTTAGGGACAAAATCAAGGGGGCAGATTGACACAGACATACGGTCTGTCAAAGGTTCGAAACTCCTCATCAACGGTCTGCTTGTATTGCTCCAAAGAAAAGCCTCTTGTGTCGACATGATCCCTATGGGACAAGACAATATTGAGTACAGTTCCGCCTTTAACAAGATAGGTCATGCAAGATTTGTGCGGAGCGATCCAAAAGTTTGAGCTTCCGGAACCCAAACCCGTGACTTTGGCAAGCAGAGGGTCGTCTCTGATTCTGCGCACTTCCGCAGACATTCTAAACGCAGCCCATCCAGTTGGGCGACTGCCAGGATCCGAAGCTCCCAGGAGCTGCTGCCGCGCGAATGAGTGGATACCTTTTTTCGTCCGTCAAAGCAAAGTCCCTAGAGGTAGATAGCAACAGGTTCAAGAACGTACCGTCAGCGGCAACGACAACGTCTGCCTCTAGCCTTCCCCCAGTATGAAGCTTTACCGCGCCGGCAGCGAAATCGTACTGGACAACTCTACTGTCTGTCCTGATCTCTGCCCCGCCTTTTACCGCGTGCTTGTGCAGGATAGAATGCAATACGGCCCTGTGAATGACAATGTATGGTGCGCCGTACCGCGTCGTCATTTGATCGACAGGTATGGTACCGAGGAGACGGCCGTCTTCGTAGTGCCGGACATACATGCGGTCAGGGACGATGGACTCTGCCAGTAAGTCGTCCTTGAGGCCCCATTTGAAGAGGTACTTGATAGCTTGCGGAGTCAATTGTACTCCTGCGCCTAGTTCTGCCAACTGCGGTGATGACTCTACCAGTACGACGTGGTGGTTGTGTCTCGTTAGGGAAATGGCCAGTGAGAGCCCGGCGATGCCTGCGCCAACAATGATGACCTTCATGATGCTCACGGTCAGGATTTCAACGCCCTGGTGTCGGATCTGGCGGAATCGTATCGAGGAACTTCAGACACCGTGGAGCCGCAAACTTCGAGCATGTATTGAATGAGAATCTAAAAAACAAATGAAGGATGGAACAAAGGTGGTGTTTATCTGGTGAGGAGCCTCGGTGCCTCGGCAAATCTGTGACATGAAAGCGTGTCTGATACAATCCCAAGACGAGGAGTCGTCGGTGTAACACCGATGGAGGATTCAATATTACGTATAGATGGAGTGTTCAGGAGCCAATATTGGCCACCTTTTTTCCCTTCCTGATCGGGCTGTGCCGATGAGCCGTGCCACAAATACAGACCAGACTCGACAGTGAGGGGTCATGGACTGGTTCGCCTTGACCCCTCTAACGTCGCTCAACGGCAACCTAACTAGCACTGGGGCAATAAAAATAATCGTAGTATTTTGTAACTTGGTTGCCAATTCCGCTAGTGGGTCTGACGCATCGCGATGCGCGTACTGATGGTGTCTAGCGTGATTAAATACAATTCCCTGGCCTAGGTACAGCTAAAATATAGTGTTACTAGATGCCCTCCATCTAGCCCCCTTTTTTTGATTATTTTTAGTAACTTAATTATGAATAGATGAGTACATTTAATTTATTTTTAAATTCATTTTTTCATTTACATTCTCTAGGCTGTCTTGTATTGTAGCAAGTAGTAGTTTAGTTTATGACTTCAAATTTCACGTATTGCGGTTAGGGCTAGTTACGATACGGGGCCGAATACTCATAACCACACAATGGTAATTTGCAGGAACGCCTCGACACCCAAAGTCCCCTCTCTTTTTGGAACCTTCTACCAAGGGCGAACGACAACTACCGCATCACCTGCGTTCCACCATCATAACAAAAGTATCTTGGCCTTGGAAAATAAGGACTCTTACAAGCATGGCCCAAATACAGATCCCCGTCATTTCTCTCAAGGATACGTGTATCCCAGCTGAATGTAGTTGTGTCAATATACTTGCACTCTTGTAGACTTTGACCATCGAAAAGAAGAGATCAAGAAGCAGCTTCTTGAGGCTGCCGAGGTGACCGGATTCTTCACCCTGGTCGATCATGGCATCACTATAGATGAGATTGAGGCTCAATTCCAAGTTGCAGAGAGTTTCTTCAGTCTACCAGCCAAAGTCAAGGGGAAATCCCGTCATGATCCCCGGTCCAACAACGGCTGGGAGTACAAAGTGAGCCGCCATCAACAACTGATCAAGGCTCCGTGCTTACAATGCACATAAGTCTACAGGCTCAGCTGCGGCCCAGCACTGGTGCCTACGACCAGAAAGAGTCTCTGTGGTTGATGCGCAGGTCGCAGTGGCCCAGCGATGAAGATGTGCCAAACTTTCGCGGAACCACAGAGCGATTCATGGCCAAGTGCGCCTCCATTTCTGACCAAGTCTGTACGTAGGCATATTACGTTTGCCACACCAAAGATGTCCTTTCCATCACGCAGGGCTGACATTTAGCAGCATAATGGAGTGGCCTGCTTTTCGTCTGCTCTTGGTTTCGATGAAGACTACCTGGTGACGGCCAACGATCCTACCAAGCCTGACTGCATCAGCCAGTTGCGATTACTCCATTATCCAGCGTCAGAAAACGCCTCTGGCACCTGAAGGGCCGGTGCTCACACGGACATGGGATGCCTCACTCTGCTGTTCCAGCGAGAGAAGGAAGATGGTCTGGAGGTCTGCACCGGCCGAGAGTCATACACTGGTTTCGATATGGGCGACTCGTTCACACCCATACGAGCTCGCACGGGGCCAATTGTGGTCAACATTGGCGACATGCTAAGTAAGAAGCCCTCGCGATTCGCTTTTTGCATACAGAAAGGTCGCACCTGACTCACCTCTACGGCAACCTCACAGTGGCGTGGTCCGATGACCGCCTCAAGTCCAACTTTCACCGTGTACGTGCCAAGGAAAATGGACATTCGCCGCCACGGTACTCAATCGCGTACTTTAACCAAGCCCGCCGTGACTTGACTGTACAGGGCCCCCGAAAGAAGTAGTAAGTTGCAATGGATCCCCATACAAATGTTCGTCTACATCGGCAGCAACGCTAAGGTATAGTTTTATGCAGCCCCCCGGTTACCGTGGACGAGTACTTCAAGTTGGCTATTGAGCAAAACTTTGGAAAAACCCCGGTGAAATCTTGACATGAATTTCCCGGGTTCTGCGCCCAGTTATAGCTGTCGTATGCAGTTTTAAACTGGTCCCACGACGTCTCTGGGCCCGTTGTGTACTAGTGAACTCGGTTATTGAGGTTGGAATGGCCAAACACGTCGTGCCTTGGTACAGGCATTCCTGCACCGGCGCCGTGAATCCCAGAGCACAACTTTAAGTCGGTGAGGGGGCATATTCGTGTATAGTTCACTAGCTGAAAGGTGTTAATAGCATTGAGAGTGCAGCGTTCAAGCAAGATCTGCCATTGCAAAGAGTAAATTAATACATTGCCAATATACGTGCCGTTAATTTCAATCCATCTCTCCACTCCTCAGCACCCCAATGTCACCTATACATATGAATGCATCACTAGCCTACTTCCCCCTCACGCTCGCAATCAAATCCGTCACCGACCAGCCTTTCCATTTCAACAGCGCAAAGAACAGCACCGCGACGGCAGACTTTGTCACAAATCCAGCCAGGCTAGTCACGTCGTTGCCGTTCCTGTCAAACGGCACACTGGTCTTGGCGCCTGTAGATCGTACCATGGCAGCGGCCTTCTTGTCGGAATACGGCGCGTATCGGACCTTGAGAAGCAGCTCCATCCACGCGGGGACGTTAACCACGGTTCGCAGGTGCGTAAACTCTTTGAAGCCAAAGAGACCATGGTACGCGCCCATTCCAGACGCCCCGACACCGCCAAAGGGGGCATCCTTGACGAGCATGTGCAGGATGGCGTCGTTGAAGCACACGCCGCCAGAGTTTGTCAGACGCAGGATCTTGTCCTTGTCGGCCTGTGAGGAGGTGAAGCCGTACAGGGCGAGGGGGTGGTCATGCTTGACGGTGTAGTCGATGGCCTGGTCGAGGGTAGCGTCCAGGATGGGCAGGATGGGGCCGAAGAGCTCCTCGGAGAGGAGTGAGTCGTCGGTGGTGACGCCGTCGACGACTGTGGGTGCGAAGAAGCGCGTCTCGGGGTTGCGTTCGCCGCCGTAGACGACTTTGCCCTGTGTCTTCTCGAGAAGGTTGTCGAGACGCTTGTAGTGGCGCTCGTTGATGATGCGCGTGGCATAGGCTGGCTGCCGAGCCTGGCCAGAGCGGTACTCGTCAAAGTACTTGCTCAGGGCGGCGATGAACTTTTGCTTTATGGATGGATCGACAAAGACATGATTGACGCCGACGCAAATCTACACACTATTAGCAATATGCCCCTTGCCGAATCCTGAACGGCGACATCATACCTGTCCGGCATTCATGAATTTTACATTCGCAATTCTCTTGGCGGCCAAATCGATATCCGCTGAGGGCGTAACAATTGCCGGTCCCCGTCCGCCCAACTCCAGCGTCACCGTTGTCAAGTTCGGCGCGGCCTTGGCATAAATGATCTTGCCCACGGCGGTCGAGCCGGTGAAGAAGATGTGATCCCAATTGCGCTCCAGCAGATAATTCATTTCCTTAGGCCCCGCGGTGACTACTCGAATGGCGCTCTGGTCGAGGTACTTGGGCACAATTTCGGCAATCAGCTTCTCCGACGCGGGCGCCAACTCGCTGGGCTTGAGGATGGTGGTGCAACCCGCGGCAATGGCACAGAGCATGGGCTCAAAGAGCTCCATGAAGGGGTAGTTCCAGGCTGAAATGATGAGTGCTACGCCCTTGGGTTCCTTGCGGATGCGCGCTCCGCCAAACAGGTTGAAGGGGTCGGTACGTCGGGGCTTCTCGTCCTTGGTCCATTCTTTGATGTGTGCGAGGGCTTCGAGGCAGGCATTTTGGATGCCGGCGACGTCGACGGGGAGGGTCTCTTGACGGTGCTTGTTGAGATCTTGGTTGAGGGCCGTCACGATGCGCTCACGGTTGTCCTCGAGCATCCACCATGTCTTGCGGAGTTGCTTGATGCGCCATTCGAGTGGTTTGGTGGCGTTGGACTTGAAGGTGTTTGAGACGGTGTTGAAGGCCTGTACAACACGTTAGATGCGGGAATTTCCCCGACGAGCTGTGCTGAGCGTGATGGCAAGGAGGGCGACGGGAGCATACCTCGTCGACCTGAGCCTCGGAGCTGTACGGCATTTTGGAACGTGATGATGCTTGGACGGTTAAACGCGTGTGGTTTCACAGAAGCGGTGTTTTGGCTGCGGGGCGAATAGGTATTTATTCAGAAGTCCGAGCTGGCAGATCATGATGCAAGCCTCGCCCACACACACAGCTCCGGTCTATCGAGGAGAGGCTTTGCCGTAGAGCTAGACACAGAGGCGATGCCTCGGCTAGCTTAGCCTTCGGAGCGATACGGAGTAGACAGCCAGCCGACCTAGAGCGCCACATCGTTGAGCACGTCGTCTGTGCAACTTGGAGTCGTGGGGTGCAGAGATGCCATTCGGCTGGGGCGGCGGATTGGACTGTTGTTCCGTCCCCGAACCAAAATGGATCCAGACGACCCCAATCGTGTGTCGGCCACGGCCCCGGAGAATGCTTAAAGGGCGAAATCCCCGCACAATCTATCCCCGAGCTGTGCGAAAGCTGGCTGGGGCCCCATTCCCCCACACAAAGGCACCGTACAGTCTGGCACGTGATTAGCTCAGCGGATTATCAAATCTTAACGTGCATTTTCACGTAAATTTTAAGTACTGATTTCTCCGGTAATCTCCAATTGGTTCCTGGCCTCTGCTATATCGACTCGTGAGGTAGTAAGCGATTTAGGTGTTTGTTCCCTTTGACAATAGTTGCTCTGTTGGATTGGGCATTCCGTGTCGCTTTGACAAATTCAAGTACTAAACCTCTGTCGCAGAGAATATAAGGGGGTATAACACACAAAATACTGCGGCGTGGCCACGTCCGTTTTTTGTGTGACAAACTCCAAGTTGCGGCTCCACTTTGTCTGTCGACAATTTCGCACGTACTGTACCAAGGTAATTTAACCTCAATAGTGGAGCTTCACTTTGAGTCTAGCGGTGTAATTTTTGCATAATAAAAAAATAAATGATACATGAGAGAGAGGTACAGAGGCCTAGGTTTCCTCCACTTTTGTTAGTGCAGCTGGCATAAGCCACGACAGGCAATGTTGATATGTCGAGGAGTAGTAGTATGCCCTAGACAACAACCTAACCCTTCCACTGCCATCAACTATGAACCTCATCCAAATCCCTATATGTAAATTAAAAATATATACGAACACAAATCCGGTTCTTCATATCACCGCACTTACACTAAAACCAGGCGCAACATCAACCCCAGAGGGCCGAAATACTTTATAACTCAAAGAATTGACGTTGAGATCATGTACGGGGTCTTCGGAAATGATAGCTTCGTTCAGCCCCACCGCTACTCAAATCTATGCTGTTGACGTGTACTCAGGTAATAACAAATTGATACACTTGGAGCAGCCAAGGCTCCCGGGCTATCTCTCTCCACCAGGCCCAAGCTACACCGCTGCAGCCTTGACTGTTCGGAAGGGATGGACTTGTTGCTGTTCGCAGTAAATGACAACACCGTAACAATTAGAGAGGACGTGGCCAATAGTAGACCCGAATCTTTTGAAGCGTCTGTCTTTGTCTGCCGTTGGATGCTTGTCACTATACGCAATAATTCAGTAAAATCACAACAGGAAGCCGGAAACCGCTACCCTTTTAGGCCAACGGGGCTGTTGAAGATGACATCCTATCCCAGAGCGTACGTACAGCTTATATTAGATTCCCTCTGGTGGGATGTCAAAAGTACGATGTTTAATGGGATTAAATAGTCCGTGGACTCGTGGTGGATGCCGCAATTTGATGGTTTATTGCAGAAAGTTCATTGCCGTGGCTCTTTCGATACATTTGCCATTCAAAGTACCACCAAAATCAAGTCGACGGGCCAACAATCCTAAGAGGATAGTTCTCATTATCTCAAAGCCGCCTCCCAACGCTCCTATGATCTTCTCGTACCTAGTCTTCCTCATATTCCACATATCCAACCAGGCTAGTGTCGTCTTCCGCACCCTGCTCCTCCACACAGTCGCAATCAGCATTTAATTTGGTCTTTGGCGCGGACTCCAAATTGGTTTACCCTGGCTTGCCAGATTGCACATTGCACTAATCGAAGGACCGCCAAGCCCGGCATTACCGTCACTATCATCTGAGTGTGTGACAAGGGCTCTGTGAGGGCTTGGAGCAATAGCTCTGTTCATCTATAACAGTCTTTGGTATCAAAGGTCCTTGGTTCTCTGAGTTCTTGAGGGACTAAAGGTCTCTCTATAAATACAAGAAGTCGGTGGGGCCTTTGCCCTAGGTCCCGTGATCGTAGCCCTCGTGTAACCGTGTGACAGAGCGTTTCCCATAACTGGCCTACAGGCTTCTACGCAAGTAATCTCTATTCATCCACTGAACGGCTCGGAACTACCTACTTCATAGAAAAGTAAGAGACATTGAAAATTGTAGAGCGGCAGAACTACTCTTATAGACCAGGCGTGTCTGGCCGACAACGGATCCTAGTCAAGTCCCTCTCGGAACATGACATCAGTTGCACTTCAGGAAGGATTTCTCTCCGTGGTAGTTATTCTTAACAACGTCATGAGTCATAACACCGCAGTACACAATGTTGCCATTATTGTTGGCACACACCACACGGATGGGGGTAGGGCCGCCAGGCTGCCTGTCGGTTTTCTCCTCCTTCTGCCACCCTGCCTTCTTGTCAACCCTGTAGATGGGGTATTTCCAAAGAATTGCTCCTTCCTTGTCGCAGTTATGAGAACCAAACTCGATATTGTCTCCGTTCATGTACCTGTGCGGATCGCCGCTTCTGCAAGTTGTAAAACCAGCCTTCCTAGCTTGATCCTCGGCTACACCGACGTCGACTCGAAACTTCTTGATTTTACCAGTCTCGCTGTCAAGGCGAGGCTCGCAAGTAACTGTTTAAATATACGTGTATTAGCTATGACTGGATTGCATCTGGTAATCGATAATCGTGAGACCGCAACGTACATCAGCCCGGGTGATTGGGCCGGCAAGAACAGGAGCAGCAAGAAACTTCATTGTAGCGAGTATATCAGTAAGAAGAACGTTGTGACAATTTAGGTTCTGACAAGCTCGTAAGCTTAACTAGAATACGAGTGTTTCAATATACGTGGAAAACCTATTTGACTTATAAAGGTCTGATCACTACAATGTCTTATCTTTTGCGTCTTAAGATAATACGCCCGGCAGTAGTGATGTGCCTGTTCCGCATCGGCATTCGAGCAACGATAGAATCGTATTATACAGGAGGCATTGCAACTATAGGCGTTATGAGATTAAGGTCGATACGTTGTAGGGCAAGATCTACCAATCGAATCGGCCTGCTATTCCTGGGTTCGGCCTTACCGGAGTGGTCCCGCGTGAAGACTTCGGCCTACGTCCGAGCAACAAATCACCTCTATTCTCCGTCTGAATATCAATCTTGTTTGTCAGATTGTTGTTGCCCCATCCGATGTAGCACAATCCTGGTCGAGCTGAGCTTGGGCGAGACGTCTTATCTTGTTTTTTTACCAGTATAACACGGGACTCTTCCGCCATCATAACACGAAGCATAAACTTGATGGCGCATCGGTAACGAGGTAGTATTGGAGAGGCGAAGCAAACGAGGAACGAAGAAAACATCCAACCTGACCCAGGCCATCGCTATCCTGAGAGCCTCGGACATCTCACCTGCATCCACAACATAATGGCCCAGGCGGAGAAAACTCCTATTTGTGGGCAACACGGTAGTTACTCGTCATCATCAGAGAATCTTGCTCAATTCTTGATGATTGCATTCTTGGCATTACACAGCTTAAGCTGCCAGGGAAGGCGGACTCGCACCAATCAGCAAATTTTGTCTTGTAGCATTTCTTTGCCCCGTACAAAGACTATTATTTCCAGCAGATTGCACACAATTCAACAGCACAAATTCAAACTTTTTGGTTTATCAACTACTATCTCGCCGCCGACGACGGGCGACCTGACGACGTAGTATCCACCCCAGCTCGAGGAGCACAAGATATCGGAACGGCTGTCGATTATATTGCCACTCTCGACCCTCGCCTCTTTGATGAGGACGACAACGCCGAGGACCTATCCTACAAGAATATCGTCGATTTTCTGCTTACACGGGAGGCGAGCCCGGCGCAGGCTGCGGCAAGGATCGACGAGTGGGTGGTTGGAGAAACTAACAGGAGGTACGACGACCTCAAGCAGCGCGAACCCCCCCCTCGGCCTTACCGATGAAGAAAAGGACAATATATGCCTTGTGGGGCTAAGTCCATGCCGGCAAATCTCCATGATACTTAGGGCGATAGCCAGGGTTTGCTCGGCATATCCCCCGAGCCACCCTGTGCAGGACGCCCTCGTCGGGCTTTTCCAGGCTCTGAAGGCAATGCTAAAGCATAAAGTACCGGATCTTAGCTATGAACTTGAATCAAATGAGCCCTATTTCGGGAGAAAACTCACCCTATGGCCTTTTGGCACCCCATCAGTCGAGTATTTGGCGCAAAATTTCCAGCGTGAAGCCGAGGGTACGCCATGCTGCTTCCCGTAATCCATTGGATTTATTACTAACAGGTCAACTGGTGGTATTAACTTCCCGTAGAATTCGCCTATCCCTTCTCCGAAGTCGAAACGCCGGGGAGCGAGTTCCAACTACGCTGGAAGAATCTCCAGGGCTTCATCTCACGACTCACGTCTCTCGATTTGATCGACTGCGGCATGGCAAGCGCCCTGGAATACATTCTGCCTGCCCATCACGCATACTCTGACATCGATAAGCGCCCCCAGGGCGGGCCAAAGAGAATTGAAGCTGATCTCATCGCCGCAGCGCAATGGATTGAGCCAGACCAGCCTCCTCAGTGGGTATACAACCAATGCAGGACTACTGCTGGGACTCGCAAAATATGGGGCATGCATAATTGGAATCTTTTCAAGGAAGAGCTGTCATTTTTCGGCACAGACGAGCGATTCTCGCAGGAGACTCGACGCCTGGCGGAATCGCTGCGGCAGAAGATGGAAACGCAGGGGTAGAACAAAACTTCAACTCATCACGTACGATACACATAACTGAACCAAGTGCATATAAAATGTGTCGACCAATTACCTCAAATCTCTTCCGCATCGAATAAAGACTCGTCTGATAATCCTCGCATATCATTGTCTAAGTATCCGGTGTACGTACTATAGTTGCATCAATACAAGCAATCCATCGATAGCTTCAAAACGCCGTTCACCCATTGTAGAAGCACAATCGGTTTCCGTCGTCGATATCGCCGGTTGCGGCAGTTGGAACCCAGAGATACGTCTCGGCAGAGTCGAAAAGACACGACCAAGCAAGGCGGTACAATATACTTGGTCAAACGTCTCACCCGACCAGATTTTCCCATAATGGCCAGGGCAACCACATTGTAGCTAGCTCCTAGCCTACCTACTACGCCAGGCCAAATGGATTGCTTTCTGCAAAGTATTGGACCTGATTCAAGAAGATCAGCCAAGGTGCCCCGTCGGAGTCCCCAGACTACGTCAGCATAGCGATCAATTATTTACTAGAGATCCTTCTCTTCTGGTTTGAAGCATCTCCGATACCGGCCAGGTGTCAGGGCCACAGAGAGAGAAGGTAGCCAAGAGGGCACACTTACAGTGGGTTCGCAGTAATTCCGAAAAACGCCTACTTTTACACCAAAACTTGCGCTTTTTAAAAGCTTATAATTCTATTAAATAATATATTAAAGATATAAATTCTTCTATAAATATATAATTAAATAGAAT